ATTTATTTGACAGAGAGAGGCACAGCGAGAGAGGGAACACAAGCAGGGGGAGTGGGAGAGGGAGAAGCAGGCTTCCCACCGAGCAGGGAGCCCGAGGTGGGGCTCGATCCCAGGACCCTGAGATCATGACCCGAGCCAAAGGCAGACGCCTAACGACTGAGCCACCCAGGTGCTCCTAAAGATTATTTTTCTTTAAAAACAATGTTGAATTGTCTGTGCCTGTAAATGTAATTTGTAGTAGTAACCCATCTTAAGCAGTGGTTTATTTGGGTGGCTGATGGATATTTACAAAGGCCAAATTCTATCTCCTTGGGGGATTTGGAAGGGCTGTGTGGTAGTTGGAAACATCCTTAGGGTAAAGAAAGCTGTAATCTGATCATGTGCATTGTGATATGTCTGAAGAAAGAATGTGCGATCAGATGGTTAGTTACCTGCACGAAGTTTTAAAAAAGATGGAGGGAAACTAAGGGGGAGCCTAAGAGAATTTGTCACTGGGTTGTTCTTGCTCTCTCTGTGGCCCTGGGTTTTCTAATTCCCTTTTCTTTTATCCCATTCTTAATAAGCTGCAGTTTTTAGTTTTAAAGATTATAAATTAGGTTGTACACAAATACATTTTTATTATAAAGGATGCATATAGTACAGTAGTATGCAGAGCAAGGTATCAAAGTCCCCCTTTCTTCCCAACTCCCTCTTCCTGTTTTAGAAGTACAGTGTTAACAGTTGTACATTCTTTTAGTCCCCTTGCTATGGATTTTGAAATTATAATACCTGTATAAATTTTTTTTTACTCCCAAAATGTAATAATATATCATGAATTGTTTTGTTACTGGTGGTTTTTACTTAAGAGTGTGTCTTGACAAGTATCATATGATCTCACTGATATGAGGAATTCTTAATCTCAGGAAACAAACTGAGGGTTGCTGGAGTGGTGGGGGGTGGGAGGGCTGGGGTGGCTGGGTGATAGACATTGGGAGGGTATATGCTACGGTCAGCGCTGTGAATTGTGTAAGACTGGTGAATCACAGACCTCTCCCTCTGAAACAAATAATACATTATATGTTAAAAAAAAGAAGATAGTAGGAAGGGAAAAATGAAGAGGGGGATATCAGAGGGGGAGATGAACCATGAGAGACTATGGACTCTGAAAAACAAACAGGGTTTTAGAGGGGAGGGGGGTGGGGGGATGGGTTAGCCCAGTGATGGGTATTAAGGAGGGCAGGTATTGAATGGAGCACTGGGTGTTATATGCAAACAATGAATCATGGAACACTACACCAAAAACTAATGATGTAATGTATGGTGACTAACATAACATAATAAAATAAAATTAAAAAAAAAGAGTGTGTCTTGAAAAATAAGACATGGCTGTCTCTTTTTTTTATGGCTGCCTAATACTCCAAATTTAGCCAAGGATGACCAGTTAGGTTGTTTCTAATTTTTTGCATTTGTAAACCTTGCCGTAAGGAAATGTCCCTGTACATACATCCTTGTATACATGTGCTGCTAGAAGTGAAATAGTTGGGTCAAAGACTATGTACTTTTAAAGTTGAGATACATATCGCTAAATTGCTATCTTAAGAGGATGTCTCAGGTTGCATTCCATCAGTTGCTTGAGAGGGTGACTTGCCAACACCTGGTATTGTACATTTTAACATTTTTCCCCCCAATCTGATGGGTGAAAAACTGTATCTTTTTAAATGTTGCATTTCTTTTCGGGGCGCCTGGGTGGCTCAGTCGTTAAGCGTCTGCCTTTGGCTCAGGTCGTGATCCTAGGGTGCTGGGATCGAGCCCCGCATCAGGCTTCCTGCTCAGAGGGAAGCCTGCTTCTTCCTCTCCCACTCCCCCTGCTTGTGTTCCTGCTCTCGCTATCTCTCTCTCTCAAATAAATAAATAAAATATTTTAAAAAAATGTTGCATTTCTTTGATCATGAGATCAAATATCTTTTCATACAGTTATTCGTTTTTATTTCTTCTTTGAATTGTCTCGATTTAACTTTTTTCCTTTTACTTTCATAATTCTGTTGTAACTGATTTTAAAGTATAAGTTGAGGAATAAGATATAATCTCTTATATCAAATAATCATGTTGAGTGACAATAACAGTGAGCTTCCAAGACATCGATCTCTTTTTTTGCAAAATGAGTAGTGTTCGTGAATATTTATCTGTGGTGCAGTATTGCTTCTAGACGTGAATCACTGCAAACCATGTAGAGAACTTGCAGAATAACCATGTAAATTGCTGTAGTTTGTTTTTAACCTTTAGAATTATCAGTTTGAACTCATTAAATTTTTTCTTTTAAGGTTAACAATTTCTAGGCAGTAACAATGTAAACACATGAGTTTAATGAACAATTATCCTTTTATTATTAGGTTGTCACATTATAGACTATTATAAATTTTTAGTTTTTTTATAGAATTTAGTAATTGATAAGTAAAGTGGTTCCACAGACCTATATGACCTTGGGCTAGTCATTTTACCTTCCCGAAGTCTGTTTTTCTTATGTGTAAAATGACGCAGTATGACCAAGTGATGTCCAAGGTCTACCAAAGAGAGATGTTAAAAAAAAAAAGATGGGTTTCTTCCCTTACTCTGGAGAAGATTAAGTCAGAGGATTAAAATCCAACTTCTGTTATAGATGAGCATTGAACTAAAAGATCTTTGTGGACCATTCTATCTCTGAGAGTTTTGATTCTGTGTTAGATGATGTAAACAAATTTCATCAGTCTTGAGTTTGTGGTGACAGTTCTCTGAAAAGATTATTAAACCAAGAAAGGGTGTTTGTTGCATCTAATTAGCTAGATTTTAATAGTCTGACCTTGATTGCTGTGTTGTAACATACGAAAGTTGTTTTTTTTTTTTAAAATTTTATTCATTCGAGAGAGTGAGAGAGAGAGGGGTTTTTCCCCTGAAACCAATGTGGTCAAGCCTGTTTGGATAGTGTAGAGATAGATCTGTTCACCATCTACCCTCTCAGGACATTTAAGTGAAAGATCAGACCTGGAGAAACATATGCCTTTAAGCACCATGGTAAAGTTTTTTTAAGGTGTGCTAAAATGAAACATGGAATAATGGAAGTACAAAAGATACTAAGTTTCAAGCAATTTAGAAAGTTAAAAACTATAAAAAGAGACACAGTCTGCATAACATAATGTTTGTAATAGAATTTGCTTAGCCAGGTAACAATATTCCAGTGGTATTTCCTGAATAGTTAAAGAAGGTGATTTCAAAAAAGAGTTACTTAGCGAAGCAGGCTTTAAATACTATCAAATTTGATTTGTTTCAAAAGTAGGTATCTTCTAAACTTACTTACCAAGTTAGGAGTATGTTTAATGGCATTTTAATTGTTTTCCCAAATGCTTTATTTTCTAAGAGATCTTATTTTTTTCTAATTGTGGTTTTATAAACTGTGGTACTTTTCAGTAGTTCTTCCTGTCATGGTTGAAAGAGGACTGCTGTATAATAAAGGTAAAAATAAACTGAAAATTAGAAAATCTTTCCTGTTGTAGATACAACACAAGGAAAATTGACTCAGGCCATCAACACTTGTTAGCATCAGTATATATAGAACCACTTATTAGATATAGGGTAGGACACAAGAGGAATGGAAGACACAAAACCTCTACCCTGGGAGTGCTTAAGTTTAGTTGAGGGTCATTATAAGTATGTATATTCAAGTTATTTTAAAACAAACTACATGTTAGTGCCAATTAAATAATGTAATTGTATATGCATGTAGGAGGATACAGAATAAAGGAGTAATTAGAGGGTAATCTTGGGAGAATTCTTAGAGAACAAAGAGGATTTGGGGATGGAATGGAGGAGAGGAACTTGAATACTGTTATAGTGAGCGTTTGCTAGAGATGGTGTCATGTACCAAGTTCAGGAGATGCCATGGAGTAAGCTCTGTGTAGAAAGCAGTGTAGAATTCAGCTTTCTATTTGTGTGATAAAAGTAACGTGGGGCGTCTGGATGGCTCAGTGGGTTAAGCATCTGACTTCGGCTAAGGTCATGATCTCTGGGTCCTGGAACGGAGCCCCGCCTTGGACTCCCTGCTCAGTGGTGGGTCTGCTCCTCCCTCTCCCTCTGTACCCCACCCCTGCTCGTGGGCATGTGCATGTGTGCTCTCTCTCAAATAAATAAATCTTTAAGTTAAAAAATAAAAGCAACAGTTCACTTTTTTGATTACACTTGATGATGTTATCATCTAAGGAAACCTTGAGACTAGAAAATAGGGACATTCAGTCTTCACTAACTCTGTTTTAGAGTCCTAGAGTCATAGAATTTTAGACTAAAACTAGGAATTCTCTTCCTGTCATTTATGAGGTGAAGTAACTGAGACCTGGGGATACTTTCCCAGTGATCTCTGCTAGTGAGGGCAAAGTCAGCACACATATCTATTTCAGAGATGTTATGTGCACATACAAGGAAAAGCATTTACATTAATTTTGTTCCTCCTGTACAGATTATACAGGCTGTGCTTCACCTTTCTCATTCTTGTTTGTTTTATGGTTACATAGGATTCCATTTTATGGATGAGCTATAATTAATAGACCTATCCCCTGATGATGGATATTTAGGTTAGTTTCGATCTTTTTTAATGCAATACTGAGTTTTTAAAAAGGTGAAAATGTCTGCTTTGAAATTTTTTCTTTCATATACATTAAGTAAATATATACATATATAATCTGTTTTAGTATTTGAGAATTTTACTACTCTTCTAAACATTTTTCTGTTTTACCTAAATTCAGTAATCCATGATGGTCACACTTTGTGAGTGATGTTCATTAAAGCAAATATCATATCTTGTAATTCAACATAATGAGTTAAGATGGTTTATTACTTTAAAACTCATAAAACTCTTGATGTAGTTAGAGTAATGATAGACTCTTACTTAATCTCAAAGACTATCCAAAAAGTTGTGCTGGAAGTTATAGTATGTCTAAAGGTGCATATGAACTATAAAATATTTGAATTAAAATTTCTGCAGAATATGCATTTTGAGAATGTTAGTGTTGATAGTTGATAGCTATCCATAAGTCTATATATGTGTAATTTACTGCTATTTTTGCTTTTAGAACCTTTTGCCCAGAATAGCAGCCAAACTTGATGTTGCCCCAATATCTGACATCATTGCAATCAAGTCTCCTGACATATTTGTGAGAACTATTTACGCAGGTGAGTACCCAAGGAAAATAATGAATCAACATGTTAACTTTTCGTGAATTTTAAAAGCAGAAATTAATTTAAAGTTAGTATTTTAAACAAGTCATACACTTGCTTTAAATGGACCATCTTAAAAGTTTCTGAGAAAAATCTTAATCTTAGATTTGCTTCTAGACCATGACATGACAATCTGTTTGATAGATCCAGAGCACAGTTCTTTCCTGCTTGGTTATTCAGTTTACAGAGCGATGAGATTTTTCCAGTCATCAATAAAAATTAGATTCACTAGTGGCACCTGGAGAGGCAAAACTTTTCCATTAAAAAAAATAGTATTCTTAATCTTCACTGCTTCTACTCCGTTTCCATCTGCATTAAGAAATTCATTTCAGTGTCTCTTTAGTTGATTGATCTTCTGCTAAGCACACTGGTCTCTAGTGCGGCTAGAAAAAGTAGTGAACTCTGTTCTTTCTGATTGAAGTTGTGTGTTTTCAATTTAATGGTCAGTTCTCAAATTAGATCTTTCATCTTTAATAGAGTTTGAGGGGAAATATTGGTCAAGTTTAGGTTGCTCTTACGTGATTGCTAACCCATAAGAAATGTCTTAAATTCTTTTAAAGTCTTGGCACATGATACCTCTTGTTCTTTATGCCCTATCATGTTTTCTTTCTTTTTTAAAAAAAGATTTTATTTATTTATTTGAGAGAAAGAGAGAGAGCGCCCATGCGCGCATGAGCGGGGGAGAGAGAGGGGCAGAGGGAGAAGCAGACTCCCCGCTGAGCAGGGAGCCCGATGCTGGGCTCCATCCCAGGACCCTGGGATCATGAGCTGAGCCGAAGGCAGACGCTTAACTGACTGAGTCACCCAGGTGCCCCTGCCCTATCATGTTTTCATTTATTTTCTTCTCTTAGTAAGCCTAGTAGCTGCATTCTTAAGTTGTTGCAGCTCATATTCTTGAGTTACTGTGTTTTTGGAGAAGGAAGCTTTTGTTTATATTCCTTTTAGAAAGAGTACACCTTATTAGTGTGGCTTCCTAGCCTATTCCAATTTCTTGCTTCCAGGCAGGTCAGCACTTGTCCTGCTTTTAAATAAAACATCCAAGGTTATACAAATATCCACTGATAAGTTTCTTAAGTATTATGGTCCTTTTTTCTGTACTTGGTAGAGGTAGAAAACAACTGGTTCATAGTTATTTCTTCCTTGTTTTCATGAAGTAAATTCTGAATCTCAAAGGATTACTTGCCTTTCATGGGTGTTTTTAAAAAAATAAATTGTGTATTTCAGGAAATGCTTTATGTACAGTGAAGTGTGATGAGAAAGTGAAGGTGTTTTCTGTCCGAGGAACATCTTTTGAAGCTGCAGCAACAAGTGGAGGTAGTGCCAGTTCAGAAAAGGGTGAGTGTTCGTTTGAAGTTTGTTTTGTTTCTTGTTTTTTAGTTCACTGATTATATTAGAATAAGAGATGGCCTCTGGTTAAATTTCTTAAACAGTGTCTGAGAGCTCAGTCTAAATAATATTCCCAAGCTTTCCAAAAAGAAGAAATATTTATAATGTGCCTTTTTCATATCATTTTTGGTACTGGTATAGTTGCTTTCGTAGATCAAAGGGGTGTTGCTTTACTTTTTTCTCACTGTTTTCTATTATAATACTTGGGAGACTCCATATAATAGAAGAATATAATTAATAGTAAATTTATAGAGGGTGTTACTCTTTAATATATATATAGATAGATAGATAGCTTATTTGAACCTCATGGAGGGTTATTCCAGTTTTATAGATAGAGAATTACATGACTTCTCAAAGGTCATATAGCTAATGAGGTGAAGGCTGGAATCTAATCCCTTCAATTCTTTCCAAAAATCAGAGAGAATGAAATTAGAAGCACAAAAAATTCACAGTAACTAACAAACTTAAATTTCATGGAATTAACTCTTTATGTGTTTCTTTTAAAAATTACTATTATTGAATTTTAACTCACGGTCATTCTTTTGTTATCTGTATCAACGTACGCAGTATCAAGTCCTTCCCCAGTGGGGATAGCAGAGTGGCTTGACCAGAAATTAACAAAAAGTGATCGACCGGAGCTAACTGGTGCCAAAGTGGTGGTATCTGGTGGTAAGTGGAATATTGTAATTTATTAATTTTAAAAGATGTTGTAAAATTAAAATTGATTTTATTAGTATTTATTTTAGAGCAGCACAGATTTTCTTTTTTCAAATGTAAGAAGTAGATAAGATTGCAAGTATTATTCCCATTTTACCAATTAGGAAAATGAAATGAGCGTGGTGGTAACACAATTTGGGCTCTCAGTTGCATATCTGTATCGCTGGCACCAGGGGGAGCATGGTACAAGTCATCTCCACAGCTGTATGGAATGGAGTTTATGTTTACTTAATTTTTTTTTTTTCCATTTTCTTCAATGAGGTCGGGGTTTGAAGAGTGGAGAGAACTTTAAGTTGTTATATGATTTGGCAGATCAACTACATGCTGCAGGTAAAGATATTTTCTTTAGTAGAAAAATACTCCCTTTTTGTTGGAAATATTTTTTCTTTATTATTTCATTTATATATAAGTCACTCAAGTCTGCAGATTATTTTGCTTTCTCTGGTTTTCAACTTTTCTCTCTGAAATGGTTTTTCTTAGTCTCCAAGTAAATGGTATACCATTCAGTGTGGAGAGGGTCCTTATGCTTTTTTATTGTTTATCTGACACTCTTATATTTGTGAAATCTTTGTTATTTTTCCATTTATTTATTTATTTATTTATTTTTAAAAGAATTTATTTATTTGAGAGAGAGAGAGGATGAGAGCAGGTTGAGGAGCAGAGGGAGAAGCAGACTCCCTACTGAGCAAGGAGCCCGATGGGGGGCTCGATCCCGGGACTCCAGGATCTTGACCTGAGTCAAAGGCAGCCACATAACTGACTGAGCCACCCAGGCGCCTCTGTTTTTCCATTAAAAAAATTTTTTAAATGTGCCTACTTCAGATTCAGGAATGCCCTTGTTTTTATTGGTAGTTTAATAACAATCTCTTATAAAAGTAGAAATTAACATTATTTTAAAATTGTAGTTAACCATTTATAGGAAAGATAGAATGTATTAAAAATGTACTGATGAGAGTGGAATGGTTTTTGAAATCAGAAAATTGGAAATATTTTAGTTTTTAACTATAGCACTGTTGCATGAATATATTCTTTTTACAATGGGGTGCCTGGGTAACTCTGTTGCTCAAGTGTCCAACTTTTGATTTTGGCTCGGGTCATGATCTCAGGATCGTGAGATGGAGCCCCCGCATTGGGCTCTATGCTGGGCATGGAGCCTGCTTAAGATTCTCTCTCCCTCACTCTCCCCGTCCTTCCCTGCTTAAGATTCTCTCTCTCTCCCACTCCCTCCCCATCTCTCTCTCTATATATATATAAAAAAAAAAAGAAGAAAGTCTCCATTCTTTTCTTTCTTCCCCTTTGTTAAGAGTTTTGTGTATAACTTTCTAGGTTTTTCGTATGCTTTTATATTACCTGATCTATGTACTCATAGAAACAGTAATGGTTTTGTCTGAATAAAGGCATGATATTGACTCTATAATCAGATGGTTTTATTTGAGGGTGTTTATTTCATTCACTTATTCTTTAATTGAACAAATATTTATTGAGTGTCTGCCATATGCCAGGCATTATTTTAGGAACTGGGAAATAGCAGTGAGCAAAATAAGCAGTCTCTCCCCTTGTGGATTTATATTTGTATTTGGGTGAGACTAGACTTGTATTAGTTTCTGTGGCTATTGTAACAAACTGCTGTAAACTCTGGCTTAAAACAACAGAAAATTATTCTTACAGTTCTAGAGACCAGAAGTATGTTGAAATCATGGTGTTGGCAGGACCACACTCTGGGAGCAAATCTGTTCATTTCCAGCTTTTAGAGGCTGCCCCAACATTCCTGGGCATGTGACTGCATCACTCCAATCTCTGCCTCTGTCTTCAAATCACCTTCTTCTCTGTGTATCTGTATCAAACCTCCCTCTGTATCCCTTTTTTATAAGGATACTTGTGATGACGTTTAAGGGACCACCTAGATAATTTAGGATAAGCACCCTCTTTTAAGATCCTTTATATCATATCTGCTGCCATGTTGGTAATACAGATTCTGGGGATTAGAAAGTGAATATATGGGGCACCTGGGTGGCTCAGTCGGTTAAGCATCTGCTTTGGCTCAGGTCATGATCCCAGGGTCCTGGGAGACCAGGGAAAGTGCAAAAGGGAAATGGAATGGAAAGTGCAAAAAGGGAGGGTAGTAAGAGATAAGACAGAGAGTAATAGACCAGACCATATAGGGCATTATGTGCCTTAGTAAGGAGATTGCTTTTCTCTTGATGAAATAGGAAACCACTGAAAGGTTTGAGTAGAAGAGTCACATGACCTGACACTCTAGCTACAGTTTTGAGTATAGGGGGATAAGTTTTGAGTGTAGGGGGATAAGTGCATTAACGGGGGGATCAGTTAGGAGATTGTTTTAATCATTCAGGTGAGAGATACTGGTGGTTTGAATCAGGTTAGTAGCAGTAGATGTAGGGAGAAATAGTTTCAGGATATATAGCTGAAAGTAAAGAAACTGGGATTTCTTGATAGATTGGACATATATATTATGAGAGAGAGTTTTTATCTGGCAGTTGGTAGGATGAAATTACCATTAGCTGAGACAGTAAAGACCCCAAGTGGCACAGTTTCCAGGGAGAGATCAGGAATTCCATTTTAGGCATATTAAGTTTTGAGTTAACAGTAAACATACAAATAGAAATGTCAATTAAACTGTTGGTACAGGAATGTGGAGTTCATTGGAGAAGTTTGGGCTGGAGTATAAATTTGGGAATCAGTTGCATTTCGATGGTATTTGAAGCCATGAAACTAGATGACCTCACCAAGGGAGTGAATGTAGATAAAAAAGAGGTCGCAGGACTAAGCCCTAGACACTGTAAGATTAAAAGAGGAGAAGGAGAGAAAGAAGACCAAAAGGAGTGTGGTAAGTAAGGCAGGAAAACCAGGACAGAGAGCATGATGTTTTGGGATCCAAGTGAAGTGTTTTAGTCAGGTATTATATAGTAGGTCAAGGAAGATGAGGACTGAGAGTGACTAACTGATTTAGCCACTTAGAAGTCATTGGTGACTGAGCATTTTTAGTGGAGTAGTGGGCAAAACCCTGAGTGGAATGGACTTAAAACAATGATCCTAAATGGTGGTTACATGACTACATTCACTTTATGATAAACCATTGAGCAGTACATTTGTGATTTGCATGTGTTTTGTACGTGTGTTATGTCTTAATAAAGTTTTTAGAAAAAGATTCGGAGGCCTGGAATTGGAATCAATGAATACAGACAACTCTTTAGAGAGATTTTGCTATATGGGAAAGCAGAGAAATGAACAGTATTTAGGGGAGAATGGAGCCAACAGAGGGGCATTTTAAAGAGGGGACAAATAATAGCATGCTTCTATGCTGATGGGAATGCTCCAGTTGAGAGGGAAAAATTAATTATGCTGGAGAGGGAGGGCAGAGTTGCTGGAGTAATGTCCTTAAGTAGGCAAAAAAGAATATGGACACAGCTGTAGGTTGATGGGTGTATGTTAGTTGGAACATGTGGAAATTCGCTTGTGATGATTTCAATTTCTTAAGTGAAATAGGAAGCAAGGTCATCAGCTGAGAGTGAGGATGTTAAAGAGTATTGGACGTTTGACAAGAGAAGAAAAGATATGAAATTTTAATTTAGGAAACAGAATTAAGGCCTGTTTATTTAAAGTAAAACCTAGTTAACACAGCTCAGTGTTGGTGTTTTTCTCCAGTTATGCTGAACTACAGGGGACAGGTAAGGAAAAGATAGAGAGGTTGTTTAGTCTGTTAACTGGAGATGGAGATTTTTTCTAGTTGAGAGTGATGATGAAGGCAAGGAGATTGAAGGCGTATGCAATGAAGTGATTAGAGTCATTGATCATAGAATTTAAGCTAGGTAAAGAGGAGACAACATGGGGCGCCTGGGTGGCTCAGTTGGTTAAGTGGCTGCCTTCCGCTTAGGTCATGATCCTGGAGTCCCGGGATCGAGTCCCATATCCGGCTCCCTGCTCAGCGGGGGGTCTGCTTCTCCCTCTGACCCTCTTCCCTCTCGTGCTCTGTCTCTCATTCTCTCTCTCAAATAAATAAAATCTTTAAAAAAAAAAAAAGAGGAGACAACATAGTGGGAGAGAGGGTCAGTGAATAGAAATATAGATCCCAGTGAGGTCAGAGGATTGTTGGAGCTGAGTGTGAAGGGAGTCAGCTGGAAAGAGTAGGTCACAGAGAGACATTGGAAATTGAGATTGTCAAGGGATATCGGTAATGGAAAGGTTGGGGATATGACCATGGGTGTGGCTGAGTACATAGATGATTGGAGAAGAGTTTAAGGAACCAAGAGGCCAGGTGTTGAGATCTCTGAGAATTAAGACTAGTGTTGGAGAAAGTGGCAATGGCCCAGAAGCTAAAAATCATTGAGAAATGAAGGGGATTGGACTCATGGTTAATAGCCGACACAGCAATAAATGGGTGACATGATCTGACGACGTGAGATTCAAAGCTGAAGGCTTTTAAGGAGGAAGGAGGGAGAACTTTCTGAAGGTGTCAGTGAAGAGTCCCACCTCCAGGCCCAGTGGTATGAAGATGGTGGCAGACAGAGCAACATCTGGAGGGAACTGCAGGGGAGTCGTTGTCGTCAGGGAACATCTAGACAAATGAGAAGATGGGTGTAGATTAGGGAGCATGCAGAGCATTATGGAGATTAGTGTGTGAATTATGAAGGATAACCTTTGAGTCTGGGCCTTGTAGTGACTGAAGTAAATAAAGGGCAGTATGTGACCAATCCTCACTGATTCAGGTAGTGTTGAGACTATGTGCCTTAGGAGGTAGTAGGAGTACTGTCTGTGGCTTCCTCTTGTCCTCTCTAGATGAAGATGAAGAGGACCCAAGACTCGTTCTTGACCCCTGCTGAGAGGGGTGACCTTACTCCAAGTACAGGGCTCTTTGTTGACTCCTGCTGAAGGAGGATACAAGGCTACTTCTCATTTTTTTTTAGATAGGTTAAAATTTATCTTGTGTTATGTGTAACTTGTCTTTATCTGATCACAAGAGATAATGATATCATAGTACCTTCAAAAGTTGTGAAGTTATTGCATAAAGGAGCGTTATATAATGGTATCCCAAACAGATGATAATATATGTTTTATGAATGCCTAGAGGCCTTTTTGATAAAGCAAGCAGAGGACTTCAGCCAAATTTAAAATTTAAAATCCTTGGGTATAAATAGAAGGCATTTCTTTTTTTAAAAAAAATTTTTTATTGTTATGTTAATCAACATACATTACATCATTAGTTTTTGATGTAGTGTTCCATGATTCATTGTTTGTGCATAACACCCAGTGCCCCATGCAGAATGTGCCCTCTTTAAAATAGAAGGCATTTCTTGAAGTTTTGTGTATAAAGTGCACTAGTACTTCATTTTAGAATTCTTGATCAGTGAGAAGGGGATTTTTTTCTAAAACAAGGCCTTTATAAAATAAATTTGTAATTGTACTTATCAGTATCTTTTTATACAGTTATTAATGAATATCCCAACCAGCTGATGAATAGAGCTTAAAAAAAAATGACAAATATGTTTTCCTCTTTAGTTGGTGCTTCTCGTGCTGCTGTTGATGCTGGCTTTGTTCCCAATGACATGCAAGTTGGACAGACGGGAAAAATCGTAGCACCAGTGAGTATTGCGATAAAATATGCCGTGCAAAATTCTCTGGGGATAAAAAGTTTGTGTGTGTATATATATATTTGTTGAATAACCATCTCAGATACTTTTCAGTGTATCTAAGCAGTTAGCCATTACAGTGGTGAACATGTCCTCACGAGGTCTGTGGATTTCTTGGTCTCAGTTAAAATGCTTAGCAGTTTTTAATCCAGCATTGTCTTTCAGATTTTTTTTTTTAAGTTTTTATTTAAATTCCAATGTCTTGGGGTGCCTGGGTGACTCAGTTGGTTAAGTGTCCGACTCTTGATTTCAGCTCAGGTCATGATCTCAGGGTTGTGAGTTTGAGCCCGATGTTGGGCTCTGTGCTGGGCCTAGAGTCTGCTTGGGATTCTCTCTCTCCCTCTCTCTCTGCCATTCCCCACCCTCTCTCTCCCTCTCTTAAAAAAAAAAAATTCCAGTGTCTTCTGGATTTTTTTAAAGCAGTGGAACACTGTCAAATTCACATAAAATCTTTAAAAAAAATTCACATCACAACACCAAATATAAAATTGGTGAAAATAACATTTTATTAGTAAATGGATTTTATAAGTTCACATTAACATTTATTTACCATAAAGCCTATTATTAATAAAAACTGTATTAATGAACACAGAATCTTGAAATCAGGAGCTATGAATAATAGTTGTCTCATCCTGAACACCTACTTTATCTCTCTTATTTTGTCTAGCTGCATGAAATTCAGAAAATTCTCATCCATATAGATAAGTGATACTAGAATATTCTTCAGTTAAACCTATCCAAAACTTAGAAAATAAATACTTTGGTTTCAAAGTTCAGTCACTAACCGTATCTAATGATTGTTCATATTACATGAGTAGACATCTTCAGGCTTGAATTTACAAAAGATCAGACCCACAACGTTCCTAATTGATAATACTTCTACAAGAAATTCAGAATGCACTGAGGTGGCAGACAAACTTTTATTTAGTTTGACTGAAAGGCAGCACTTGTTAAGTAGAACAGCTGAATGATGGAATGACCAGTGGCATCCTTATCTGCATTGAAAATAAATGTCCACAAACAATGAATCATGGAACACTACATCAAAAACTAATGATGGGGCGCCTGGGTGGCTCAGTTGATTAAGCGACTGCCTTCGGCTCAGGTCATGATCCTGGAGTCCCGGGATCGAGTCCCGCATCGGGCTCCCTGCTTGGCAGGGAGCCTGCTTCTCCCTCTGACCCTCCCCCCTCTCATGTGCTCTCTGTCTCTCTCATTCTCTCTGTTTCAAATAAATAAATAAAATCTTTAAAAAAAGAAAAAACTAATGATGTAATGTATGGTGATTAACATAACAATAAATTTTTTTAAAAAAATGCTTATATAATAAATAAAATCCACATATAATAAAAAAAGAAAATAAATGTCATACAGTCAGCTTTCTTCAACATTGCCATTGTGAATATAGAATTATTTAAATTTTTTTATAAGGAATTTAAATATATTGAACACTTTAAAGACTTTCTTTAACATAAATCATATAATCCCCAGAGATTCTGATTTATTAACTCTGAGTTAGGCCTGGTCATGTATATATGTATGTATTTGTGTGTGTGTGTGCGCGTGCACATTTAGGCTTTAAAACTTAAAACAATCTAGGGGTGCCTGGGTGGCTCAGTTGTTTAAACATCTGGTTCTTGGTTTTGGCACAGGTCATGATCTCAGGGTAGTGAGATCGAGCACCTTGTTGGGCTCTGCCCTGAGCATGGAGCCTTCTTAAGATTCTCTCCCTCTCCCTCTGCCCTTCCCATCTGCTCATGTGTGCATGAGTGCTCTTTCTCTCTCCTAAAAAAACCTTTTTGAAGCAGTCTCAAGTGTACAGAAAACTTGTGAGTACAGACCAAAAACCTTTATTTTTGTGGACTATTTGAAAGTAAGTTGCTGAGATGATACTCCATCATCCCCAGATAAGTTATGTAGAACATTCTCCTATATAACCACCATACAACTTTTAAAATCAGGACATTACAATTGATACATTAATTCCATCTTATCATCAGATCCCATTCAGGTTTTGCCTATTGTCTAGTAATGTCCTTTATAGCAAGAGGCTTTAGCTCAGAATCACATGGTGCATATAGTTGTCATGTATCCTTCCATCTTAAACAGTTCCTGTCTTACCTTGACTTTCATGACCTTGGCACTTCTGAAGATTATAGGATAGCTATTTTGAAGAGTAGAATGTCCCTCAAATTAGGTTTGTCTTGTTTCCGCACAATTCAATTTAGGTTATATATCTTTTGACAGGATTATCACAAAAGTGGTATTTCATCCTATCAGGTGGTACACAATTTCATTTTGTCTTATTACTAATGATTTTCACTTTGATCTTTTCATTAAGGTGATAGCTGTGAAATTTCTCTGCTATAAAGTTACTTTTCCCTTTGTAATTAATAAATGTTTTATGAGGAAGTACTTTGAATGATGTGAACATTCCAATTGTCCTTAGACTTTCAATTCATATATTTATTTATATCAGTATGGACTTCTGATTCCCATTTTATTGAGTGGGTGAAAATCTATCGTCATTATTATTGTTGTACAAATTATCCCACATTTGGCCAGTGAGAACCTCTTAAAGGTGGCTTCTGTGTGTTTTTTGACGTGTTCCCATTTTTCTCTCCCTTTCTTACTTTCTAACAGAACAATATGTTCCAGGCTCATTTTGTACTTTTCTTATCTGAGCCCTGGAGTCCGTCTTTTCTCTAAAGAGCCCTGGTTCCTTTTAGTGAAGAATAGTATTTAGCAGCCAACAGCTGGATGTTAGCTGCTTTCATTGGTATTAGGTTGTTGTTATTCCCAGAACCTCTCAGTGAAAAAAGCTAGGGAATGTGCATAACTATGTGTATGTGTAGGCACATACACACACATTTACATCTGTATTTCTGTATCAGTCTCTATTCTATATATTGAAAACCATAGTTCATTTTGATACTGCCAATTCCAGTCCAATACCACAGGATCAATTCTGGTTCTCTCCCTTTCCCTGTTTGTAATGCCCTTCTTCTACAGTGAAAAACCTGGACTCTGCCCTGCACAGATGCCCTCCCTCCTTGCTCCACTCAGGTTCTGACACCCTGCACCGAACAGTCCTTCCATATAGATACCCTCCCCACTTTGCTTGGACTCTGATACTCCTGTCTGGATCATTTCTTCCCAAAGTTTACATTCCCACCAACTATGTATTTGGGTTCCAGTTGCTCCTCATTTTTACCAATATTTGGTGTTTTAGCTGTTGAATAGTGAATGTGTAGTGGTACCTTATTGTGGTTTCAGTTTTCATTTGCCTGATAGCTAATGATGATGAACATTGCTGTGTTTTGAGGATTCACATGTCTTCCTTATGAAGTGTGTTTAATTCTTTGGCCCTTTTTTATTGCTTGTCTTTTTGTTATTTAAATGTCATCATTATATATATGTTATATATATAATTAAATTATTTATGTAATTATATAGTTATAATATGTGAGCTTCTTATCAGATATGTTTTACAAATATTTCTCCCAAGGTGTGGCTTGCCTATTTATTTTCTTAATGGTATCAAGTTGAGGAACTTCCCTTCTGTTCCCATTTTGTTGAGAGTTGTTACCATGAATGGTTGTTGAATTTTGTCAAATGTTTTTCTACATTTATTAAAATGATCATGATTTTTCCCTCCTTTATTTTGTTAATATGATGAATTACATTGTTTGATTTTTGAATGTTCAAGCACTTTGAGTTACTGTGATAAACCCTACTTGATCATGATATCTTTTTAATATACTGCTGGTTTTGATTGACTGGTATTGTGCTAAGGATTTTGGGGTCTGTCTTGATCAAAATCTGTAACTTTCTTTTTAAAGAATATTTGTCTAATTTTGGTATCAACATTATGCTGGCTTCATAAAACGAGTTGAAAGGTGTTCCCTACTGTTCTATTTTCTGAATGATTTGTGTAAGATTGATATATTTGTTTTGTTTTAAATGTGATAGAATTCACCAGTGATGCCATTTTGGCCTGGAATTTTCTTTGGTGGAATATTTGACAATTAACTCAGGTTCTTTAATGGTTTTAGGGCTATTCAAATTTTTTATTTTATTTTGAGTCTGTTCGGCTAAGTGATATATTTCGATGAATTGGTCCAATTTTTCTAAGTCAAATGTATTGGATAAAGGTGTTTATAATACTGCCCTATTTTCATTGTCTATAAGATCTGGAGTGAAAGCTCCTCTTTAATTTCTGCAATTGGTAATTTGTGTCTTCTCTTTTTTGTTCACTTTCTCTTCATCAGTCTAGTGAAGAGTTTATAAAAATTTTTTAAAAATCTCAGTGATCCAACTTTTTTAGAATGACAGACTTATTGAGATATATAACTCATGTACCATACAATTCATCCAATTAAATGTTTAATTCAGTGGCTTTTAGTATATTCACAGTTATACAACCATCACCTCAGTTAGTTTTAGAACATTTTCATTGCCCCCAGAAGACACATACCTGTTTTTTTCCCCAACTCCTCCAGGCCAAGGCAATTAACATTCTACTTTCTGTCTATATAGATTTGCCTATTCTGGACATTTCATATTAATATTTCATAATAATTGATGATTATATAATAGGTGGTCTTTTGTGTTTTTTTTTTCATTTAGCATAATGTTTTCAAGGTTTATCCATGTCATACTATTACTTTTTATTGCTAATAGTATTCCATTATGTGGGTATACCACATTTTATTTATCCATTCATAATTTGATGGACATTGGGGTTGTTTTCACTTTTTGGCTATTACGAATGATGCAGATATGAACATTCATTTACAAGTTTTTGTGTGGACATATATTTTAATTTTTCTTGTATATATGCCTAGGAGTGGATTTGCTAGATCATATGGTAACTCTGTGTTTAACCTTTTGAGGATCTGCCAAATTGTTTTCCATAGCAGCTACACCAACAGTGAGCCAAATTTTAGCTT